GCCTCTGGTTACATTTTTGTCAACTGATCAATACATAACCTTGTTTTATATGTGTTTCTGTTTAAATACACTTTACTTAATGTATATTTTTGATTTATGAACATCAACCTCACGGTTAACAACACTATAACTGATACCTGAAAGCAACTTGTCTAGAACATTTTTTTTTTTGGTAAAACTCATCACAGCCTGCTTGCACTGAGGAACACTAGATAGCACTTCAGGCTATGCTTGGAGACTATTTTAAGCAATGAAATCATCAACAAAGAGTGCAGAAATGTGAAAAACGTGGCACTCAATAGATGGTGAAAAGGACCCTTGTTTATAGTATAAGAGGCACACAAAAAAGCAGAGTGTTGCCTTGTTCCATCGCAGGTGGGAATATGCACATCAACCAGCTCACTTGTTTGCTGCTTTGAGCAAGTCCGTAAATGATTAAGAAAGTGCTCTGAGTATTGATTTGAGGGTTACAAATACAATTGTTTTCCACTCTAATATGTTTTATTTTATTTTTTGGATACTTTGGGTTTCAATCACTCTTCTTTCTTAAGTTTCTTAAGGAAGAAGCTGAGGTCATTGATCTGAGACTTTCCTTTTTCTGATATGTATTTAGTGATAAAAATTTTCCTCAAATACTGCTTTAATTAGATTCCATAAATTTTTATACATTGTGTGTTCATTTTCATCCATTTCAAAATTCTTTTTAATTTCTCTCTTTCTATCTTTGATTCATGAGCTGTTTAGAAGTGTGTTACTGAGTTTCAAAATATTTGAGGACTATCCAGAGTTCTTTCTTTAAAAAAAAAAAAGATTTTATTTATTTGAGAGAGAGAGAGAGAGCACACAAGTGGGGGGGAAGGGGCAGAGGGAGAGGGAGAAGCAGACTCCCCACTGAGCAGGGAGACTGACTTGAACCCCAAGATCATGACCTAAGCCAAAGGCAGACATTTGCCAAGTAAGCCACCCAGGTGCCCCAAGTTCTTTCTGTTTTTGATTTTAGTATTCCATTTTTATGGGAGAATGTATTTTGTGTTATTGAATTATTTGTAAATTTATTGATTCTTGTTTTATGGGCCAGAATATGGTCTCTTTGTCAAATTTTCTGCATTTATTTGAAAAGAATTTCATTCTGCTATGATTGGATGGAAGTTCTGTAAATGTCAGTTGGGTTAAATTTGTTGATAATGTTATTCATGTTTTCTCTTTGATTTCTGAATTTTGCATTTTTAAAACTCATCTATTGTATGGATGCTAAAATTTCCAACTACAGTTGTGGATTTTTTTTTCTTTGCAGATCTATACATTTTTGTTTAATGTATTTTGAAACACTATTATTAGGTACAGAAACATGTAGGATTTTTATCTCCATTTGATGAATTGATCACTTTGTTAAAATGAAATGGTACCCTTTATTCCTGGTAATGTTCTTTGCTCTGAAATCTATCTTGATACTAATACGGCAATTCCAGGTTTTTGATTTTGATATTTTTTTACATTCTTTTACTTTTCATCCATGTTTCTAATTACTCCTTATTTTTTCTTATATGGGTATCAAATATTCTCATTCTGTTCTATTCATCTTTTATCTATTTTTTTCAACTTTCCTATCTATCCTTCTAGTCTATAATCTGGGAAAATCACTCTTACTATTTTTTAACTCACTAATTTGTTCTTTATTTGTATCCAAACTATTATTTTTTAACATATTTAATTAAATGTTTTAATAACTGCATTGTCCTTTTTTTTTGATTCCTCTTTAATAAATGCACATTCTTGTTATTTGTCTCTGGTTTCTCTGAAGGTATCAGATTATTTATTTAAAAGTTCTTTTCAAATTATTTGAGATTCTGTTTCTTGTTTGTACATTATGTTATTGAGTTTTTCATATATGGTCTATGGTGTTAGATTTTCTTAAATATTTTGAGATTATTAATTACTCTCTTTTTTCGTTTTCTTTTTAAAGAAAATTCCCCCACTGCTTTAGAACAAGGTCAGCTCCAGATTTGTGGAAGTAACTGTTGTTTAGTACTGAACCTCTAGTTTTCTTTTAGGATAGAATCTCCATTTCTTCTCTATAAGAAAGAGAGAATTTCTCTTTTATAAGGGAAAAGAAAAAAAAAAAAAGGTTAACACTACCTTATTCCAAGCAAGATGTGAGCCAAATGAAGTAGAGCTGAAAAGACATGTCCAATTAGTTTTGTGATGCATCGCTCCTCTTGTACTTTTAAGGTTTAAAAGTTGGAGTTGCTGAGACTATAACTGTTTGGAAAGTAGGAAAAAGTATTTCTTTATATTCCAGTATCAGTAAATTTGAGAAGGCCATGGAGGCTCCTGGCCTCAATCCCCATGGAGGAAAGATTGGTTGTACATTATTTTCATCTCAAGCCCTTGGAGAGAACTTGAACTTTTTCCTGGAGTTCAAGGGCTACAGATAACTTATGTTTGATCCATCCCTTTGAGAGACTGAGGTTAGTTCTGAGGAAAGGTAGCCATTTGGCCATAACCTGGACTTCCAGTGTCACATAAGCCAAACCATGTATAAGCATTCTTTGTGGATGAGACATGAGCCATGCACAGAGAGCGTTGGTCTGCAGCCAGCTAATATCCTGCCCAAGAAGCCTGCTTACAGTGGCATCTTACCTAGGTTCCCCAAACTGTTGGGAATCCCAAGTCTCCTGCCAAAGAGTACAGCACCCATGTCAGGGATCTGCAGTGAGACATTTCAGCAACTGGAAGCAATATGAAAAGTATGTCATGAGAAAACCTACAGAGACCCTTAAAAGGGAAAAAAGTCAGTTTTGAACATTTAACACATCCAGAGAAACCAAATATCCTGAAATATCCTGATATTATCATATAAAATCCTAATCTGTTCTCCTTCTCTGGGGCCGGACACTAGAGCAGACAGAATTCTCAGCTTAGTGGTGCAAAGATGAAGGATGATTCAATGGTAGGAGAGGGAATAAGAGGAAGGCAGTCACACAACCCTTTGCTTCTTCAGGTGTTAACCTTAAGGAAGCCTGAGCGTGGGGAGAGAAGTTTGAACTTGGTAGTTTACAGTTTTGATTACTACCTGAAAATGAAAATTTCACTCATTAAAAAGACAATTTTTGGTTGACTAAAATATGACTAGAGGAATTTTAATTATCTGAGAGTGATAAAAAATATTATGGATATACTTTCTCTTTTTTAAAAAAGATTTTATTTATTCATTTGAGAGAGAGAGAGCATGAGTGGGGGAGAGGCAGAGGGAGAGGGAGAAGTAGGCTTCCTGCTGAGCAGAGAGCCCAATGCAGGGCTTAATCCCAGGACCCTAGGATCATGACCTGGGCTGAAGGCAGATGCTTGACCCACTGAGCCACCCAGGCGCCCCTGGATATACTTTCATTGCTTATGAGTAAATATCAGGAGTAGGATTGTGGTACCATTTGGGAGGTTTATGTTTAGTATTTTAAGAAACTGCCAAACTGTTTTCCAAAATCATTAAAACGATGTTAAATTTCCTCCAGCAGTGTATTAAAGTCTCTGTTGTTCTGTGATCTCTGCAATACTTGGTAAGGTCAGTCTTTTTAATTTTAGCCATTCTAATAAATGTGTTGTGGTATCTCTTTGTGTTTTTAATTTGAAATTCCCTAGTAATGGAATTTTGGTGAGCATCTTTTCATGTACTTATTTGCCATCTATATATCATCTTTGGTGGTATCTGTTTAAATCACTCCCAATTTTTAATATGATTGTTTTCTTGCTATTGAATTTTGATATTTAAAAGTATATATTTTGTATATAAGTTTTTCAACATATATATGATTTGCAAATATTTTCTTTTCACCATTAGCTTTATGTTCTCTAAGCAGTGTTTTTCCAAAGAGCAGTTTTTAATTCATTTTTTTACAGATTGTGCTTTTAATTTTATATATAAGAAATCTTTGCCTAACCCAAAGTTATAAAAGATATGTGCGTTCAAAGTCTTGTACATGAATGTTCACAGTAGCTTTACTCATAATAACAAAAAACTGGAAACAATAGAAATCTCCATCAGTGAGTGCTTAGATTTGCAAATTGTGGTATATCCATATAATGGAATATTAATCAGCAATAAAAAAAAAGGATGAACTATCAATACACACCATAACATCGGTAATCTCAAAATGATTATGCTGAATTAAAGTAATAAAAGATTACATGCTATATGATTTCATTTATATAAAATTCTAGAAAATTCAAAGTAATGTATGGTGACAGAAGTAGATCAGTACTTGCTTGGAGATGGAAGTAGAGGGTAGAAAGAGAAGATGGGAGAGACTAAAATGGAGCATAATGAAACTTCGGAAGTGATTCACTATCTTGATTGTGATAATGGGTCTGAAAGTACATATTTATACTTTCAGGTATCACAACTAATCAAATTGTATACTTTGAATACATGCAATTTACTGTATTTCAGTTATTCCTTAATAAAGTTGTTAAAAAATTGTGTGGGATCTGACTGAGATTTCTCCCAGACTCACAGAAAGAATCTGCCAAGTTTGTCTTTTTAATTAATTAATTAATTTATTTATTTTAAAGATTTTATTTATTTGTGTGTGAGAGAGAGAGCACAGGCAGGGGGAGTGGCAGGCAGAGGGAGAGGGAGAAGCAGGCTCCCTGCTGAGCAAGGAGCCTGATGCAGGACTCAATCCCAGGACCCTGAGATCATGACCCGAGCTGAAGGCAGACACTTCACCGACTGAGCCACCCAGGCATCCCATCAATCTGCCAAGTTTGAATGAACAATTAAGGATAAAGAATAGAATTGTTTTCTGAATGGATTCCAAGTATTTTCTTTATTCACTATATTGGTTACATAATTTTAAAATGGGAAATCTAGGTGAGACTCAACAGAAAAGTAAAACAAAAAACAAACAACAACAACAACAACAAGAATTTAATGGTTTATACACTCTTTTGCCTTTTACCTCTGCTGGTTCTGCCAAGAAGAACTACCAAGCCAGTTGGACAACATGGTAACACATCCATCAGCTCGGAAAGAATCAAGTCAAATTAAGCATAACTGTGAATTGTGTAGCCACGGTGAAAACAATGATATTTCTGTATACGATGTGACAGTTCAGTCAGAAACTGGAAACAGTTATGCATTTTGTAAATGGCGTGGTAAAAGAGCTGAGGTACTTAATACAGAGAAGAAAATGAGGTAACTTGGAAAGAGCCTCTTGGGTGGGAATTCAAATTCACCATACCTCCCTAGTAACTATGCGATTTGAAAACACAAGTGATATTATAGATAACAGAGGTTTTAGTCTACTGTTCTGGTGAAAGCGGGACAAAACTTACCAGTGACTATTGAGACTGACTAACATTAACAGGTATAAATATTCTGCAGTAGCCAGGGTACTAGTTATGGTCCAATTTATTTTCACACTCAGCGAGAAAGAACTCTATATCCTTATCTGTTTGCTTGACAAGAAGCTGGTATCACATTCTCAGGTGTTCCTATTTATGAATGATTAAGGACTCAAAGGGTCTATGTAATCCCAAAAGAAGTTCCATATGATTTCTCTTTCCAGCAAGAAAAAGCCCTCACATTCTTCAGTCCATCACTGCCATTGGTATCCTCAGTTCTAGCTCCCCCACAACTAGCTAATCAGATACTCCCAGTCTGTCCAAAATGGGGCGGGAGGGGGAATCCAGGATATAGCAAAATCTCCTTCCTGGATTCCATGTCCAAGGAGGGAGACATCACAAATGACAATGTTCTTTCTGGATTTTCTGGCTTTAGTTTTCACAGTTACAGCTCTAAGAGTGTGTCCTGGCAGGCACACTTCAGTGTTCAGCCATGAACAATCAGTCTAAAGTAGGATTTTTCTATCACAACTGAAAAAAGTCAGTAAAATAAAAATATGTGTTTTAAATATTGGCTTTCACTCCGAAGGAATCAATATACCTTCTCTTCACTCCTGAACACTCACAAGTTATCTTTTACTTGTAGGCTTCAGTAGCTCCAGGAGTTAGCTGTCTATAATTGACAACACACACCTTATTCTAATAGAATCCCTGGAGTATCACCTATGACAACCTGGTATTTGCTCTGGGTACATGGCCTTCCCAGCCAGTGGCCCATCCTACAGGTCCTCAAGAGCAGAAGCCACCAGAATGCTCTGGAGCCATGTTTGAAACTTGTTCCCTTACCTACATGTGTCTCTTTCTCTCCCCAGGTCTGGCCATGTATTTCTGTTGTGCACTAGTGATAGTGGGGATAAGAGAGATTAGCATGGATTGGAGGAGTAAAGGAGGGGAGAGCTTCGTAGCCCATCCAAATATGTGTTTAAAGTAAAATAAGCTATGGGTAGACCCACAGTTATTCCAGTAATAAATTCAAATCAGAAAGAAACGCAAATTTAAATATTGCTTTGTATTTTCCTCCAGTTCTTCACATGGATATATTAAGAATGAGACAATTCAAGAGAAAAAGAAGACAAGTTAACACAGAAAATGGTATACATGGCATTTGTTGGTTTTGATGTAAAGTAGTGAAGTTAGCAGGGAGGAGAGGGTAGGAGGAAAGTGAAGGGAGCTAAGATACAGTAAACGCTTACAAATTTATTGAGCTTAACATACTTTTTAAGTGATTTTATCCTAACAAAATCCTATGGAAGAAATAGTATTACACACATTTTGCATGTGAGGAAAGGGAGGCTCAGATAAGGAAGTAGTGTTCCCAGGTCAGAAGTGGGGAACCTGGGATTTGTACCTGGATGTTTCTGACTCCAAAACTCATACTCTTGTCATATCATTGCAGAACATACTTGGACTGAGAATAAAGAGAAGTTGGAAAAATGAGAGTAAGAGAAGGAAAGAAGAAGAAATTCAGTCAATCTTCAGCCAACCAAACACATCCTTAATGCCATTCTGCTTTCAGCATGAAGAGAAATTAAGAAGTATTTTCAACCTTAGTTGCTATTTCTAATATTAGAAAGGTGTCATATATTCATGTAGGGGGAGGCTTCCATGTCCTGTAACGTATTTTTTTTTTAAGTAGGCTCCATGGCCAGCATGGAGCCCAAAGCGGGGCTTGAACTCACGACCCTGAGATCAAGACCTGAGCTGTGACCAAGAGTCAGATGCTTAACTGACTGAGCCACCTAGGTGCCCCTGTCCCGAAATGTATTTTATCTCAAATTTTTTGAAATTAAAATAAATACAAAAACATCACATTTTATACAAAATGAATAAAATATATTATAAATATTAAAACTTTTTTAGGCCAAACAATGTATTCTGGGCCCTAAACCTGGAAATGTCTATTGACCGTCATTTGTTTTCACTTCGGTGTCACATTACAAGCCATGCTTGGTTTCTATCCTGGGGAAAGGCAGGAATCTTAAGGCATTCATATTGTCTTCATGCCGAATTCTTATTGAGCATTTAACTCAAGCCTGAGGAAATGGCAAAGAGAGACCTAAAAATAATTCCCATACACTGTATTTCATTTGAAACTTTCCAGTGATCATTTACATCTTAAGACTAAAATTTTGAAATATTTTCTGTTAAATTGAAAGGCATCATGCCTACAATGTGAGGTTAGGTTTCTATTTTTCTTTGGCATTTGGCAACCTGTTGTACACGAACAGAATTCAAAGCAAGGAGAGAGTCATCTTTTTGTTGTTATTTCTTGAAAGCTCATTTTGCCGGATTGCTCCAGCGATAGTATATTTTTTTTAAATATATGTCACATGTGAAGGACTTGAATAATGAACTGCTGCAGGCCTTTTTTGGTAAAATCATGTGTGATAGTTAACAAAGTGTTAAGAATGCAGTCTCTTTCTAAAGATCATACTAAATAGAATTGTATAATGTCAAAAAAAAAAAAAGAAGAAATCACAGCAAGAACTTATATGCAGAGGACTTAAATACAGGGAAATGGTCACACAAGAAATGGGATGGTGACAAAGACAAATGGAGTGGAGAAACAGTCCAGAAATTAGCCATGAAAGGAAGCCTGGACCATCTAATTAGGGAAGAGAAGGTGTTATTGGAACCCACGTGCTGTAGTCCCATTCTCTCCATCCTCCTTACCAACCAGGAAGCTGGAACCACGATAGACTACGGAGGAGTTGCAGGGAGGGAGTGAAGTACCCTGGCTTCTCCCTACCTCCCCATCTCCCAATAACTTTCCATTGGCTGAACCTGCTGTTGGAGGAATCTGTAAAATACAACCTGTAGGGACCAGGGGCCCTGTAATAGGAGCAAAGGAGGAATTGGGGGATTGGATTTGGGAGCAAATTGATCCAGGATCAGCACAAAAAGATATGAGGAAAATCACTTATCTATTGATATATGTTAATAAAGGTAAGATACAAAACATTTTAATAAACATAAAAGTCAAAATTGAGACTGTAATATTAATTGTAGATATGAAAGTAAAGCTGAGTAAATAATTTTTTTTAAAAAAATAAGAAAAAAAGAAATAATAAAATGGTTTGGATAGTAAAAATAAGGCAACAAAAGGGCAAACTTGTATGTATGTTTTGAATTCTAGGATGGATAGAATGAATTTGGGTACACATTATTTGACATCTTCTGATTATGGAATTACTAGAAGAAGATTGATTATTCAAAAAGAGGAACCTTGAGTAGGATTCCTCTAGACCAGGGATCTGCAAACCTTTTCTGCAAAGGATCAGAGAGTAAGTATATCAGGCTTTGAAGGATCATACAATCTCTGGTGGCAACTACTCAGGTCTGCCATTGTAATGCAAAGTCAGCTTATTGAGAAGACATAAATGAGTACGGCTGTACTCCAGTAAAGTTATTTCAAAAAATAGTGGATGGCTGAAATTGGCTCATGGACTGTAATTTGCCAACTCTGCTCTAGAAAGATTTTTATTATAAAAAATATCATTTCTACTAATTTTCAATGGTTAACTTAAACAGAAATACTTCTCATATTCAGGCTCACATAGTGAGCTCTAGTTTCAGCCTGCTTTGGTTTGAATTCCAACTCTGCCACTTACCGCCTATGTGGACTTTGCTGAATCTCTCTAAGAAATTAGGTTCAACAAGGCACTGACCTCACAGGGTTATGGTAGAAATCATGAGATCATATGTGTAAAACACTTACACATCTAACAATAACGCCTGGCACATAGAAAGAGCTGTATTTGTATTTGCTGATCTTATCAATTCCAGCTTTCACTGTTTCATAGATATTTAGCTTTAGGGGAGTGTATTTACTTGAACTAGCACATATGATTAAACACATTTATCAGTAAAAATGAGGCAATGCTTAACATTTATTCAGCAAACTTTATTTCAATACCTGTTATCCACAAAGTTATGAATAAGTATAGCCAAATTACAATCCAGGACACTAAAGAGTTTATCCAGGCAGGGAAAATTATAGGATCCATCGGAACAAAATAGGACAATTCAGTGTAATTGTTAAATGCTGTGTAATTGATGCATATATTAAGTATGGCAGGTACTCAGAAGAAGGAATAAGGCAATTCACAAATGGCCAAGAATGCCCATGCATTAACTATGCTAATAAGTTAAATTGACTCCAGGTGTCTTTGTTACCTCCCCAGTGATCTCTATAATGGAATCACTTTCTTCATGATCAGCTTTAGTTGAAGAACTGGGTCAAATAAATAAACAGCAGAAATGTACACATATCCAAAAGTTCAATTTAGTACATTTTTTGAGCATCAAAAAAGATTGAAAGTTAGAGAAAAAAGGGTAACTGAAGCTTTAAAAAATGTCTAGTTCAGCAATTCCATTTTAGAGGTAAATCTGAGACTCAGAAAGTGCCCAGTGACACAAAGCCAGGGAGGGAGAGGACCAGGATCGGGGATCTAGTCCCCTAACAACCAGATCCCCTAATTTACATTTTAATTAATTTTCCACATCAATAGTGAATCTTTCTAAATTCTCCAAAATGTTCAATTTTAATATTCCAGAGATCGATTTTATTTTTTTCTATATTTCAAATAGGGGTCTCATCCATGTCAATTCAGCCAAACTGTTTTAATATCTCCTATCCAGGACTCCATGCTTACTCCTTGATAACTTATAGCTATAGAAAGACAATGATGCTCTATACAATTTAACCTGTGTATTTTACATGATACTGGGCACCTAAGGCATCATGATAAACATGGAGCTCATGGCAGAATAATCACAGCTGACCTATCA